AGCTGCTCCTGTATCTCTGTGCCCTGCCTGGGCAGCCCCCAGCAGTCTCTGCCCTGCGGCATGGGATGTCTTCACCTCTGAGCTCTCAGCCTTGCAGTGCCCTGTGGTGCTGGATGAAGAGATTGAGAGGCAACACAAGGACCACAGGGCTTGGCACCTTCAGGTTCTACCTTCTGTCGGGTGTTTCTCTTCAGAGGGCACCAGAGTGAACTCCCTGGCAGGAGGGAGAGGGGAGGAGGGGGTTGCTGGGTGCACTTATGGCATCCAGCAAAATGTAGTGTTTACCTCTGGGTTTCCTTCTGAATACTACAAGTTTGCTTAGGAACTCAAAGTTCATCTCCTCTTCCCTTTCAATATAAAATTTGCATAGGTTAAAATCCCAAAATTGAAACGTTCTTTCTTTTGTTACTCATGGAATATTTCAAATATTTTGAATTCCAGTGCTTTGCAGCTCAGATCCAGCTGTCATAGAATCATAGAATCAGCCAGATTGGAAGAGACCTCAAAGATCATCGAGTCCAACCCTACCATTGTTACTAGACCATGGCACTAAGTGCCACATCCAGTCTCATCTTGAAACCTCCAGGGATGGTGAATCCACCACCTCCCCGGGCAGCCCATTCCAATGCCTGATCACTTTTTCTTCACCAGCCTCGTTGCTCTTCTCTGGACCTGCTCCAGCACCTCAATATCCTTCCTGATCTGAGGGGCCCAGAACTGCACACAGTACTCAAGGTGTGGCCTCACCAGCGCCGTATTCTCCACAGTGTTTCAAATTAATTTCTTTCTTTTAGTTAAGCACATGGGTACACCTTGGCAGAGTTGATCATAGTACATCAGCATAATGATGCCTTGCTTGTTTTGCTTCTGGTACATCGGAGTCCCAGGAATCACTGTGTCATTTGCACAGAGGATATGAAGGGGTGTTATTAACACCCTTTGAATGACCTCTTCACAGACAGAGAAGAGCGTACTCTTAACTTCTTTGCTCTCTAAAATTTCTGTTACATCTTGTTCACATGTACGTTGTGACCTGGATATTTGAGCAGGTTGATTTAAATTGATAGATGCTTTTTAAATAATTCTAGTGAGAACTAGGGAGGGTTTAATTTGTTTGGTTTTAATACTTTTTTTTCCCTTTTGCTGAAGCTGGAAAATAAAACGAGAGGGAAACTTCAGAAGCAGATTTGTCAAGTTGTTCTGGATCACTTTGAGAAGCAGTACACGACAGAACTGGGAGATGCATGGGCCAGTGTCAGGTCTGTTGTTTTGGGGAGATGGGAAAGGGAGGAGAGAGGTAAGGAATTGAATATTCACAACACATACACAGAAGGCTGTCCCTTAATTTAAGCCTTGATCACACAGCCGTTCAAGAGCTGGCTGTGGGATTGAGAGAAGCCATCTCCCTTTTCCTGCTAGCTGATGATTGTTGCTCATAGGAAAACCAGCAGAAGAGCCTTTCTGGAGGAGTTCACCACTTAGCTTATCTATTTTCAAAAGGAACTTTTACAAAAGCAGTTGATGTTGATCAAAAGTGCATGAGGAATGCTCATGTGATCAGTGCCACATTACGTAGAATGAAAAATCATCTCATATGATCAGGGCCTTGGAAACCGTGTGATTCCTCTGAGTGCCCTCTTTTGTTTAGCCTCTTTGGATTAAAAGGTAGTTTAAAATAAATGCCTTCATTGCAGGTTTTTTATTTTGTTTCTTTAAAAAAGAATACATGTATAGCATTAGTTTAATTGAATCAATTTAAAAAATCTTCTAGTTTGGATCAATTTTTTTCTGCTTTAGGGAGTGAATACTCCTGAGGAGTATTTTCTGAAACTAAATGAAAAATTATTAAGAATTCAGATGTAACAAAGGTCTGAAAAAGTGAACTGAAATGCAAACGAGCATGTTCCCATCACATAAGCATTGCTTTCTGACTGTCTTCCAGAAATATCTATTGGTTTATATTTTTCTGGCCTGGTGTTTGCAGAATATAAAAGAAAATGTAAAGAAGAGCGCTTGTAAAAACTGTATCTTATGGTGTTTGGTGGAATAGCCATAGCAAAGCCAATGTGAGTCTTTCAATGTGATTCTTTGTGTTGTGATATTTACGAGTACTGCAGTTGTTCTTTGTCCCTAGGGAAGTACTTTATCATCAGAAATAAATGCTGAAGCATAATGCTCTATCTTCTACGGTCATTTGTTAGTTAGGAGAAATGGAGAACATGTAGTTTCAGAAGAAATTGGTGCTTTGAATCCAGTAATTAGGAAAAACAGTGACTCAATTTCCTATTAAAATTATTTTCCTGCAAACTTTTCTTAATCATATCTAATCAAAATGTTTCCAGAATCATCCAGTGCTGAGACTGGAAGTAAAGACTTGCCTCACTTTTGAAAGTTCATTTCATTTGTCAAGTGATTAAATAGTTTTTCTTTTTTTTTTTTTTCAATCTAGAGAGGTCCTCACATCCCCGTTGTGCTGGCAGTATGCCGTTCTCCTGAACAAGTTCAGCCAGTGCACTGAGCTAGAGACCAGCTTGTGTGTGGAGGGATATCATCCTGCCTTTCAAGGAGGTTTACCCTATCTTCCAGCATCATTTAAGTGTTACATCAGGAGAACTCCTGGGAGATTCCCTGCACAAAAACACCAGGCTGGTAAACTGAAAGAGTATTACCTGCTGAATGCTGCTTCGCTGCTACCAGTGTTGGCATTGGAAGTGAAAGATGGGGAAGACGTTTTGGATCTCTGTGCTGCACCAGGGGGTAAATCAGTAGCTATACTGCAGTGTGCCTATCCAGGTAATGTATTGAGGTGCTCTTAGCAGCTGATCCCTGGCACCATGCCCATTTCAGTTGTGCTTGTTTTGTGTACAAGATTCAGATTAGGGGCAAAAAACCCAAACAATTTATATTCTAAGTCGATCCACACTGTTTAGTAAGATATTTATCAAGTGTGTTTACCTAAAAGAGGATGAAGAATGCAGTAGTTACTTAAATACAGGTTACTGCAGACTGACAGACAAAAGTGGGGTAGCTCTGTGGATTTTGTTCTCCACTCATTCCCTTATTGTTACTTCTCCAAACGTTACTTAAAATCCTGTAGATTTGTTGCACAGGGATGTAAGTAATCTACAGTCTTAGAACACTTGTTCTTTTTTTCTTTTTTTTTTTTTCTTTTCCTCTGCTGTATCTTTGACCAGTGCTGTGCAAATAGTGTAAGTAAATTTAGGTGTACTGATGTAAAACAGAGCATAACAAATTAAATGTGCAAGATCTTGGCAGAGGGAGAAAGCTTACGATGAGGAATTCGTCTCTATCAGGATTTAATAAGCTCTGTATCTCAAGCCACCTAGATGCTGAAGAAGGGCTCTAAGATGATCACAGTGTTTAGAAGGCAACAGCAAGCAGCAGCTCTGTTCTTTTGGGCTAGGGAGTCAAAGTGAGCTGTGATTGCTGTTTCCAAGTTTCTCTGTTAGTCTGGGTAATAAATGTCTCGAAATATTAACAGCACCTTATGCTGTTGTTGATGACACCATTACTATAACCACCTGCAACCCACTGATTACAACTGGTTTTCCCTCCCTCTTCTAGAGGAATGCAGTGATGTTAATGAAGTAAATTAAATAGAAATTGTCCTTTCAAATGGTTTGAAAAAACCCCAGCACAAAACCAAGCCACTTTTATCCTATGGCTGCTTCTGAAGATACGAAATTGCTGCTGAGAATGTAAGATGTAAGGGAGTTGGTTGTTAATATACCTCAGTGAATGCTAACCTGTGCTGTATTGTGTATGGAAAACCTGGTGTAGGACATCCTGGGGAGACATGAAAATAGACATTTTATAAAATTAGAAAACAGCAGTAAGAGGAAAAGTGTAATTCTGTATTTCTGGTGTGGGTAGAAGACATAAGCAGTGTTTCTTCTGAAGAAATTAATTTCTTAGTAGCAGGTAACTACTCTGGCTGCATTGTTAAAAATAACTGCAACCAAAAGGCTTTTGTTAAAACACTTCAGCTTAAATTTCAAATAAGTATGGAGTTGGACTTCTTAGCTTACAATACACAAAACTGATGCTTTATTAATTAAAAAGCAACTAATTAATAAGGGACATGTACTTCATTTAGGCAGTGGCTCAAGGTGCCCGGAAAGGCTCTCATCTTTGGATATGGATCATGATTAAATATTGTTTCACTGTGAAACTCTGTTGTTACAGAAGTGTTTGTGAGTAAATATTT